GGGATCGCCCGCTGTTGGCAGACCCCGTGCCGCCGTCCCCCGGGAAGCGGATGGGGCAGAACGGTGCCCAGAAAGGAGAAACTGGGGGTGGAACGAGCGGGCCAGCCTTCGGGAAGCTGCTCCGCGCTCCCGGGTTTGGCCCCGTCCAAGAAGGGGAGCTGCTGCGTTGATAAACGAGTGGTTAATATTAAACCGGGTGAAGCGATGGCGCCTGGCATCAGCAGGGTTGGGGAGTAAGGCATATGGGTGAAACAGAGCAATAAAATCCACACAAAATGCAAGGAAATGGTGCTGAACCCGTCCCGTTGAGTGCGTTTTGCCTTGTACTAAATCCAGGCTGGAGTGTGAGCTTGTAATACATAATACTTGTTATGTAGATGGGTCCAAGAGCTGTTTGTGAGATGGCGACCCGGCTGTAAATCAGCTTTAAGCAACTTGTGACAGCTAAAGCAGTGGGCTCACATTACAGAGTTACTTGGTTTTGGTAGCAGGAGAGAGGGAGGCGGAAAGAATGAGAAGCAAAACCACCGAGATATTTTTATAGAAGTATTTCTCATTATTGTTCTTGTCTTCTGCATCTAATCACTCCAAACAGCCTACTTACAGTCTTTTCCTTAGTTTCCTGTTGGGTTGCATCCAACCAGCACCCACCTTTCCATTCCACTTCACAGGGCGGTGCAGCTGCAACGCACACAGACTGCGGTGGGTGCTGCCTGTACCTTGGCACACTCACCATGGCTGACATCAACAGCCTGCACGGCCCTCGCATCTGTCCTGCCGTGCCGTGCCGCATACAGCATGCCTTTCTCTCCTGCCCTGCGTGACTGACTCTCTGACTTGTCACCTTGGATGACCATTCACCAGGTCAGCCTTAACAGAGCCCAAAGCTCCTTAATTTTCCTCTCCACTTGCGCTTTTCCCAGTCACCTTCTCTGTCTTACTCAGGCTCAAAAGTATGGGGTCGCCTCTGCATCCTCCCAGCCCTTCACGCCGCACGCCCATGCTGGGCTTGCAGCCTTCCCCACTGGTCCCTTTCCATAGGCAGCAAGTGAATCCATCCCCTGTTTGTACAGCTGCCGTACTCGGAGGCTGTAGCCACAGACAAGAAAGTGCTCTAGGAAGCGTTCTTCCTAGCAGCTGTCTGTATCAAAGCTCTGCTTGGCAAAACAAGAAATAAATCTCTAGACAACATTTTCAAGTCTTGCGGATCCTGGCTCCTAAGATACAAGGCTCCTGCCTTGGCCGTGCAGTTTGTCAATGCTAAAACAATGTGGCCTTTCAATCAAATTAAATCAGTTTCATCTGGGAATTAAACCAGTCTGCTGTGTCCCATTGCAGCAAGTGTATATTTTTCATATTCAGTTCTTTATTTTTTACCTGCTAAAATCAAGGAAATTTGAGCAAAACCTCAATATGTAGTTAATAAAAGCATTAAAACGTTTGGCTGTAGCTGCATCATCCTTATCAAGGAAGGGCACAAATGGTGATAGACAAATCAGTGCCTAAAAGATAAGCTGACAAAGCTCTTGCTAGGTTCTGGTCTTAGTGATACCAGTAAAAAAAAATCTAGCTTCTTCTTCAGCTTTCCCCAGGACGTGAGTTTTAGTCATCTGAGAAACGTGCTGGATTGTGCATGTCTCACAAATGAAGCACTGGATATCTGCTATTACAAGCTAAGGAAAATTGCATATAGAAATATGCAAATAAAGACTATGCTACCGCGAAGTGACTGCATGCTTGCTGACAGGGGGAGAAAAGTTGCTTCTTTCCATTGCAGAGCTGTCTCAATTTTATGTCGTACCTTGCCGGAGGGCTCTGCTATGTAGCTAGCCCAGATTTGCCACGGAGAGACAATGCCTAAAGCAGAAGCCTTGGGGGACCAACTTCAGATCCCGCACCAGTTAAACACTGTGGATCTCTGCTCCCTTCAGTGCTGTTACACCCAGATCAATTAGGTATGAGGTTAGAAACTCCTTTTGAAGTCAAGTCCTGATTTTCTTGTGCAAAGACATTGGGATATTGCTCCATCATTAGCATCACAGCCTGGGGGAAGACTTATTGAAGTTGTGGCATATACAGCAAGAGGTTAAGAATTTTTTTTTCAGTTCCAAGCTTTCATCAGTCCATTTCTTGTCACTGACTGTACCTTCATTGTACTTTGGTTAAATAAACCAAAGGGCAGGAGGATCACCAGGGATGAAGGGCTGAAGAAGTGTCTTGGGGATGGTTGTTGATGCAGCTATGCAAGTAAAGCAGGTGGATAATAAGGAGAGAATTAGTCTGTCAGTGTTGTTGGAGCTTGCGTTCACAAGGCAAAGAGAACAGCCTGCCAAACTAAACCACAGGAATGCTCAAATAGGTGTGAGGGAGGATGTGGAGTGGCAATGGAGTTAACTGTTAAGGAACATGGTGTAGATTCAGGAGTACAACAAAAGAGAATGGAAAAAAACATAGGACTTCAACATTTCTAAAGTGATTAAGAGGAAAAGGAATGGAAGATAATGGCGGTACTCTGTTAATTATAATTTAAAAAAATGCTCAACAGCAGTAAGATTTTTTATTTTGGCCTGGAAACCTTTAGGAAGGAGAAAAAGGCAATCGTAGCTTTATTTGTTACATCCTGAAACTAGTTTTTCCAGGTTCCGGGAAAAGGCGGAGCTAGTTTCCCTTTAGCAGTATATGCTGTGCTTCCCCAGAGTGAGCGTTTCCATTTTAGTGCTGGCTGACTAACCCATTGCCAGAGCTGCCTGTTTTTCAGGATAGTGGTGAATCACTCCAGAGCCAGAGGAACCAACAACAGGGCTGGCACGACACGTAGCAGCACATTGAGACTGTCATTAGCTTCGTCTTGTGTTTCGGGCTCTTAGTTGCTTCAGTAATCTGAGGGTACACACTGGGTTTTACCAAAAGTTGTTCTATTCAGAAAATACCAACTGGGGACAGGAGGATCGCCAGTTCGTTTCCAGGTACCACCACATCTTTCTCCAACAGCTTGGCACTGCTTTCCTCTCTCGCTACTGAGCAGACAGGAGAATCTAAAAAATGAATCTGCCTCTTTTCCCTAAGGCTTCAGTAAAGATTACAGCTACTGCAATTGGCGGTGAAGTTCAAACAATGCCACAGATGTTTTAAAGTGATGTAAACCAGTGCTATTCCCCTAATACTCACGCTTCCACATCCATGTGCATCACCAAAGGTCTTACCTCTGTTTGTTGAACCCGATTCTTATGGCATTGACAAATCTCCTCCAGCTGTGAACACTTACCATATAAATACACAGTCATCCTTATTTCAAACATGGAAATACAGAAGTAGCAGTGTGAAAGCTTGGGCATCAGGAGCGATGTATGGAACAGTAGGCAGGGGTGTATTTGGATTTGTTTGCTACATCCAAAGGGAATGAACTTTCGTTGTTAAATGTTTTAACTCATGGGGTTAAATACGGTCCCGAGCAAACAGAAGATTAAAAATGGCAAAAGACATTCTGGTACTTTAAGGAGAACAACCCTAAACTCTAACGGATACAGTACTGGAAGGACACCAGACTGAAAACCAAAAGTTTGCATATCTGGGACAACAGGGAAACTGTGCATACAAAGCACCGTTCAGGTGGAAATCAAACAAGGAAGTGAAACCAGTCTCCATGTTTAGGCGGCCCATGTGTCAACACTAATAGTAGATTTAATAGTTTGGGAGATTCTTCTGCAGGACAGAACTTAAGCTGCTGCTGCTGCTCCACTCCGTGTTCCGTCTGCTCACCCCTATGGCTGCTACAGCTCTGACTGTTGTCAGTTGTGTTGGTAGTTTTTGCAATGTGCCCAATTCATATCCCAAAGACTACTGAATGTCCATGGATGCGAGTGACAAACTTGATTTGAGCCATGACAAACTTGATTTGTATTTGAACATGTTACATGAACGGAAAAAAAGGCCATAATCATAGATCCAAAGAGCATCAATCCCCAGTGGCCTAGTAGTTGACTGAGGAGTTCTCTGAAGAAAACTCAGCATTATCTTTTTGCCTTTTGAGTCTTGTACACTGAAGTGATCTGCTGCCCTATGCTTTTGGTGACTTCCCCTCCCATTCTCACTTCAAGCTGGTGGAAAGTTTTGACCCTGCTGGCAGGACCTGGCCTTGGTTGCAGTTGTCACCCTGCCCCTCTGTCACATTCCATGTTGCTGACTGATACAGAGGTCCCCCCAGCACTGGTCGGTAAAAACTTTCTCCATAAAGAATCAGAACTCCAATTTCATTTTGTCTTGGTTAAAGGCAGACATAGTGAGTAGAGACTGAGGAGACAGCATGGAGGGTTGTAGCAGGAGCTTAGGGAATTTTGTCTTTTCTTAAAAGCTGAGTACAGACCTGCTGGAAACCCCTTATGCTTGAGCTCACAGCATCCCAAGCCTAGGAGCTCATCTGAGCTCCAGGCTGTGAGCCGTGAACTAGATTGACTCATCATTTGGTGCGGTGTAACTCCCGCTCTTTACTCTCCATGGCCTTACTCTGCTGCCCAGACACCACACTGACACCTAGAAGGGCATTCTGAGGAGTCATGTGGATGTCCACGTTGGCAGCTTTAAGGTGAGACACAGTGGGGACGCATGGTCTCACATGGCTTGGGCTGAGAACCTCAGCCTTGACTGTAAATGTCAACACCTTATCTGGACTGATTTAGTGTTGTCATTTATTTTCCCTTCAGAAGGTGATTTCGTTTCACTTCCAGCATAAACAGAAGAAAAATGGGTTTATAGCTAAAAATGTTAACAACATGGATTTGAGAAAAACCTGAAGGAACGGGTTGATACAAGCAGGTAGGCTGAAGAGTCCAAAGACAGAAATGTGGAATACCCTCAGAATTTTAAATCGAAGGTATAAAGCAATCTGCAATTTGCATCCTAAGCAGGGAAGGAAAAGTGTTTAGGGAAGTAACCAGCTGATTTCAAAAAGGGTTTAAGAAAAAATAGGGATCTCATACAGGATGGAAAAGGAATAATGCAACAGAGAAATCTCTGTTTTGGCAATTTGCTATGGAGTGAAGCAAGAGCTGCAGGAGTTAGGGGTAATTTACACATCACAAAAAGTTTAAAACTCAGTAAGAAGCTTTGTAGTCAAATAAAAAGAGGATCAAGAAGTGAGATAACAGGGAGCTATATGACTGTCGAGACTAAAGATAGCTTAGATGCAAACCAATAAAAGACCGAATGGTGATTGATATGAGGCATTTTAAAAAATTACCACATCTGAAGCAAAAGCACAGTTCTAAGAACTCCTGGTGCTTGTGTCAAGGGAGGTGAAAGAACAGACACAAACCAAGAGTTTATTAGCAAGGAATGTAAATATATCTAAGTGGGGCAGGTACCACATGACTGGAAAATAGCAAGCAGTGCCTGTATTTGAGACATGAAAAATAAAATGCAATGTAGCAAACTGGAGACCTGTTAGCCTGACCTCAGTAACACCCGCAAATCTTTCTATTATGTGCTTTGACAGAAAGAATAACTCGGGATGCAAATACAGTTGAAATACACAGTGGGCTTAGCAAAACACTTCACTGCGGACCAACTTCACAGCTGTCTTCAATAATTGACTTTTGCAGAGAAGAGAATTTGCAGATGTAGTTTGTCTAAGCTTCAGCGCAGTATTTAATGTATGACAAGTTATTAGGTGAGATGCAGACAGGAACTGTTACAGGGGAGGTGACTGCACTGGATAAGAGGGGAAAACTGGGGGGCATTAACTGGGTGCTGTTATTTTGAGACACATCAGTGTGGTTCTGGGCTGGGAACACCTGCCAAATCAACAAGAGGTAATGGTGCTGCACAATACCCTGCTGAAGCTGCAACTGAAAGACTGTTT